GACCTCATCGATACAACTCGACCAAAAAGCACCATAGCACAGCGACTACTCAGAAGCCAGCCAGTGTGTGCATTGAATGCGCTATTACAACGAATATGAAACGATCTGATCTCGCATGAATCCAACTCTGATCATTCACTCGAACAGCAACGGTGCTCATTCAATCAAGCATGAAACTGGCTTGAACACATTTACTCACTCACTCTACTCGCAACGAACACAACTAATCAAAATCCGTTCGGTCACTCGACTACGAATGCTGGAAATGTACACAAATGTTTTAGGCATCCTTCAAAATGTTCACTACTATCTTAATGCTCAAAAATTTGATTTGCCTGCAAATTTCACTCATTGTCAATGATGCGTCATCACACACACACATATACAATGATCGCAACTCAAAACTCAACGAATCAGGCTAATTGCATGTATGCAACAACAACAACAACACTTGCCTCCTCGTTCAATCTTCACGCTCAAGATGCACTTCAGCAGCAGAACACCAACCAACGATACAACACACTTCTCTCAACCGCTAACACTCATATGCGCACTTGATTTCACTTACTCTTCCCTAATGAGATGTGAAATGCGACGATGAAACGAAATCTGATGAGGAGATAGATGAATGAACAAGTGCACGGTTGAATGGATGCATGAATGAATGGATCCACACGATAGAGCACTAGATTATCCTCCGAGATAGGATCCAACGAGTTTATCCAATATATCCATCCCATCCATTATACTCCTATATGAGCACATATCTATCAAAATCCATCATTCATGCGCGCCCAACAAAATATCCACTGCAAACAGATCTTCCGATGATTACGTGAATGCAAGGTGGAATGATTTCTATAATATGCTCTCAAATTATTACTGGCTATAAACGGTTCCGTTCACTGTTTTCTACGAGAAAAACCATCCTTCTACAACAACGCTATCTCCCTACGAACCCCCTGAGATATAGATTCCACCTCAACCTAAGGAGGTAAATGTGGAACTTGCACGGTTGCAGATTTCGGATTTTCGTAAGCTAGCTTTTCAGCTATCGCTGAAGGGATACAACTAAAATTGATGGTTGACGAATGGTTCGTTCTTGCGACAGTGGTTGAGTAGGATGAACATTAGATATATTTACGCACATATCCTACTCCTAGGTGGATGAAGAATGAACGCATGAATGAATGATATTAGATACATGAACATAAACATAAATGTGTGAGTGAGTATTGAATGTTAAGCACCACTGAGTATTCAATATTGAGTTGTCGATATATATCTATCTGCTCATGCTGAAGCCAAACCATGCCTGCACCACAGCGCAACGTCGGCCCACGATACTGATGACGGATGGCTCGTGCTGCTGCTGCTAGCTGAACTAACTAACCGTTGAACTGACTGACTACTCATGAATTGCATGAGCATGTGAGAGCACTACTCCCTCCCTCCTCCCTCTTCAAGCTAGGTTAATACACATACACATGCGCATTTTATGGCTTTATAGGCATGGGCTGAGCATGGCATACGTTAGCCTATTATAGCCTGCACAGGCTACACAAGACAACCAAAGCATGTATAAGATTTCACTAGCTGCACACAGCATCATCACATTTAGGGCTATATCTTTCCAGTTAGACAGCAGCTATATGTATATCTATCTATGCAGCATTCAAGCATTCATCCACCTATTTACTATTTAGCTGTAGATACAGCAGCAGCTTTACACGGACGACCACTATATGTACGTACGTACACTGCTTGCTGCTATATCTTTTAGCTTAGTTACTTACGCTTAACCGTCGAATGTATATGATATAACACTCAGCAACATCCACTGCAGCACAGAACCTAACCACACCAAGAGTATTACTCCTCGAATATGCTCAAATTCGCTTGACTTTCGTCAATGCGTGTGTGCGATTACAGATGTATTGAATGAATACAAAATATCATCATTACCACTACAGCAGCTATCATCATGAGCACAACAATTATTATCATCATGCTCTCGCCATCCCTGCTCATGCCACGCTTTTTCAACGCTCAAACACAAGCAGCACACACATCATCCATCCGTATCGTGTTCGTTCGCTTCGTTTGCTCATGACATAATCATGAATTCATTCATACATCAACACCCAACCGATGCTAATGAATAACTCATGTGTTGTATATGTATGTATGTGTGTTACCATAAGATCCTCTTCATGTGAAAAAAATATTGTTCAGTTCCAAGTATTCTCGCTCATGACCTCCTCCTCAACAACGAATATTTAACGAATCTCACGAATTCGATGCATACAATTTCGGTGAACCGAAAGAAACGCAATAAATATGAAATTTTGGTCTCGAGGGCAACCTAGAGTCTATTTTGAAGTTAGTCTCTTACATTCAATCGCACTGAATCATTTCATCAATTCACAAAACTCAAATGACAGCACTCACATATTTCACTTCAAATAAAAAAAACGAACACTAAAAAAAACAACGACAACTATGCACAATGCAAGACAGTATTATGAGCTCAGCTTGCGCCCACCTCTAAAGCCTACCGAATATCAGCCACTAATATCTTACTGAACTCAGATTTACTTCAACCATATCATATTTTCATTACATGTTCACAGAACTTCAACCACGCTACTAATCTGAAAGGAACGTCCATTATTCCAGTTCATCATGTTCCTCACTGCTTCAACAACAACAACAACAACAACTCATCTGGCCTCGTTCTTTTGTTCAATGAAAACTTCTCAATCCTATGCAAATAACTTCTTAAATCTTGCGCTAAACATGATCGCTTTCACCTATCTCATATCATTCATTTCTCCACAAATATTAACTCTTCTGATCGCGTATGCATTAGCTATTACACGAT